TTCTTTTTTTTTTTTTTTTTTTTCCATTTTTGTAATTTTGAGACCGGGTCTCTATAATTTGCTTAGAGCCTCATTGAAATGCTGAGTCTGGTCTCAAAGTTTCGATCTTCCTGCCTCAACCTCCCAAGTTGTTGGGATTATAGGCATGTACCACCACACCTGATTTTTTCCTTCCTTCCTTCCTTTCTTTCTTTCTTTCTTTTCTTTCTTTCTTTCTCTGGCTTGAACTGTGGAGCCTCTTGCCTCAACCTCCTGAGCCACTGGGATTACAGGTGTGTGACACCATGCCCAGGCCAGTTTTATTTTAAGTACCCACAGATGTGTGTTTTTTAGCATGTCTCACATATTAAATTTGCCACAATACCAGTGCTTTTGGAGGTATTAGAGAGTGATTGACTTTATTTTTTCATGAAATGTACCAGTTCTTTAATCTCTTTCTTTTCCTTGCAGTATGTTCATGCAGATGCTCCTACCAATAAAACTCTGTCTGGACTTGTGGTACAGCTTCTCCAGTTTCAGGAAGATGCCTTTGGGAAGCATGTCACTAATCCGGCTTTCACCAAACTCCCTGTAAGTATTTCAGCTTACTATGGTATAATCTTTAGTTTTAATATTTTGCAGTATGGAGTATTAAAATTGAAACCAGGGTGCTCTACAAATGATATACATCCCTAGCACTTTTTCTTTTGAGACAGAGTCTTGCTAAGTTGACTAGACTAGTCTTGAACTTGTGATCCTACTGCCTCAGCCTTCTGTAGCTGGTATTATAGGGTTCACCACACCTATCCTGGTGGCATCTTTAGTTTCCATATCCTTGGTTGTAGCCCAGAACTCATTTCCTTTTCTGCTGTCAGCTTGTAGAATAAACTAAGGACTCTGAATGGAATTTCAGCTGTAGTGTATTTCTACTTTTCAACTATTGGAAGCTTCTTTTTTAGGGGTGATTTAACATTTGCATTAAACACTGCAACAATCATTAAAAAGACTTAACTTAAAATTTATTTATTTATTTTTTTTTTTCTTTTGTTTTTAGAGAGAGAGAGAGAGAGAGAATTTCAATATTTATTTTTAGTTTTCGGAGGACACAACATCTTTGTATGTGGTGCTGAGGATCGAACCCGGGCCGCACGTATGCCAGGCGAGCGCGCTACCACTTGAGCCACATCCCCAGCCCAAGACTTAACTTAATAATTTACAGTTGGGCTGGAGATGTGGCTCAGGCGGTAGCGCGCTCGCCTGGCATGCGTGCGGCCCGGGTTCGATCCTCAGCACCACATACCAACAAAGATGTTGTGTCCGCCGAGAACTAAAAAATAAAATATTAAAAATTCTCTCTCTCTCTCTCTCTCTTCTCTCTCACTCTCTCTTTAAAAAAAAATAATAATAATAATTTACAGTTATAGTTTCCTGATGTCTCTGCTATACCATTTAGACCATTCTTTTTCCTGATTGAATTCTTATCGCTAGGGTCCTATTTTTTGTTTTGTTTTGTACTGGGGATCGAACTCAGGGGCACATGACTATTAAGCCACTTCCCCAGCCCTATTTTGCATGCATATTTATTTATTTATATATTTATTTATAAAAAAGTATTTATTTTTTAGTTGTAGTTGGACTCAATACCTTTATTTACTTTTATGTGGTGCTGAGGATCGAACCCAGGGCCTCGCATGTGCTAGGCGAGCACTCTACCAGCCCGTATTTTGTATTTTTATTTAGAGACAGAGTCTCACTGAGTTGCTTAGTACCTTGCAGTTGCTGAGGCTAGCTTTGAACTTGCAATCCTCACTGGGATTATAGGCATGCACCACTGCACCTGCCTTGTTTTTTTTGTTTTTTTTTTTTCAATATTTAATTTTTAGTTGTAGTTGTCAATAACTTTATTTTATTTATTTTTATGTGGTGCTGAGGATTGAACCCAGGGCCTCGCATGTGCTAGGTGAGCACTCTACCACTGAGCCACAATCCCAGTCCCCTGGCTTGGGTTTTTTAATTTAAGAGATGAGGTCATGCTGTGTTGCCCAGGCTGGTCTTGAACTCCTGCTTTCAAGGGGTCCTCCTGCTTCCGCTTCCTAAGTAGCTGGGATTACAGGTGTATGCTACCTTGCCACGCTATTTTGTGGAATTTTTATATATTGTCAGTGGGAAACCTTCTGATTGTGAGAATACAATTCTTTTGTTCTTAAAATTGGTTCATTTTAAAATTTTTTCTTGTACTTAACTCTTTCCCGTACACTGCCCCCTTACATTGGGTTTTATTTTATTTATTTATTATTTATTTTTTAGAGAGAGAGAGAGAGAGAGAATTTTTTTTTTAATATTTATTTTTTAGTTATTGGCGGACACAACATCTTTGTTTGTATGTGGTGCTGAGGGTCGAACCCAGGCCGCGCACTTGCCAGGTGAGCGTGCTACCGCTTGAGCCACATCCCCAGCCCTGCATTGAGTTTTAAACCCAGTATCTCTCAGGTGCTAAACAAGTACTTTTACTATTTTTTTAATATATACATAATTTTTTTAACTGTCTATGAACCTTTATTTATGTATATGTGGTGCTGAGATTCAAACCCAGTGCCTCATACATACCAGTCAAGTGCTCAACCATTGAGCCACAGCTCAGCCCATACTCTTATGATTGAGCCCCCCGTTTTTTTGCAGGGGGTACCAGAGATTGGACTCAGGGACACTTAACCACTAAGCCACATCCCTGTCCTATATTTTATTTAGAGACAGGGTCTCACTGAGTTGCCTAGGGCCACATTTTGCTGAGGCCGGCTTTGAACTCTTGATCCTCCTGCCTCAACCTCCCGAGCTGCTAGGATTATAGGCTTGCGCCACTGCACTCGGCTATTTTTTTTTTTTTTTTAAGAGAGAGTGAGAGAGGAGAGAGAGAGAGAATTTTTTTTTTTTTTAATATTTATTATTTTTTAGTTCTCGGTGGACATAACATCTTTGTTGGTATGTGGTGCTGAGGATCGAACCCGGGCCACACGCATGCCAGGCGAGCGCGCTACCGCTTGAGCCACATCCCCAGCCCTGCACTCGGCTATTGAGCCCTTTTCTAAACTTTATTTTGAGACAGGCTCTTACTGAGTTGCCCATGCTGGCCTCAAACTTGGAATTCTCGGGCTGGGATTCGATCCTCAGCACCACATACAAACAGAGATGTTGTGTCTGCCGAAAACTAAAAAATAAATATTAAAAGATTCTCTCTCTTTTAAAAAAAAAAACAAAAACAAAAAACTTGGAATTCTCCTGCCCTAGCCTCCCAGTTGTCTCAGATCATAGTCATGCACCAACAGGCCTTGCGCAACTGATACTTTGATAGTTTGAGCTGGTGAGAAGTAGTGGATTATACTTTATTTCCTTTTAAGATTTGTGAGTTTTGTTGCTTTTGTAGAGAGAATAATCTGGCATTACTATTTACTTCCCTGTTTTTTATATTATTTTTGAATTTTTTTCTTTTTGTGGTACTGGGGATCAAACCCAGGACTTCACACATGCTAGAGACGCTGTCTACATCTGAGCTACACCTCAGCTTCCCCAGTTGTTGAGATTACAGGTATGAACCACTACCCCTGGCTAGTGATTAAATAACTCCTGGGAAACAAACCATTTATTTCCAGACTTTAGAGACTAGAAAAAATATTTTTAGGCATAAGCCATAATTAAAAATAATGCATGGCTTAGTGCCTGTGGGACCGGATGTACTTTTTTTCCTCTCAAAATAGTGTTTAAAATCTTCCTGAATGAAGCACCTTGGGAGGCTGAATCAGGAAGATTGCAAGTTTGAGGCCAGTCTCAACAATTTAGCAAGGCCCTAAGCAAATAGTGAAACCTGTCTCAAAATATAAAAGGGACTGGTTGCTGGGATTGTGGTTCAGTGGTAGAGTGCTTGCCTAGTGCGTGTGAGGCACTGAGTTTGATCCTCAGCACCACATTAAAAAATAAATGAATAAAATAAAGTTATTGTGTCCATCTACAATTAAAAATATTTTTTAAAGGGGGGGTGGTTTTCCTGGGTATGGTGTTGCATGCCTATAATTCCAGCCGCTGAGAGGCTGAGACAGGAGGATTGCGAGTTCAAAGCCAGCCTCAGCAGAAGCAAGACACTAAGCAACTCAGTGAGACCCTGTCCCTAAATAAAATAGAAAATAGGGCTGGGGAAGTGGCTTAGTGGTTGAGTGCCCCTTTCAATCCCTGGTATCAAAAAAAGAAAAAAAATTGTAAGCTGCTATGCTGGTATATACCTGTAGTTCCCATTACTTAGGCTGAATCAGGAAAATCCTTTGAGCCCAGGAATTTGGGGCCAGCCAAGGCAACATAGCAACACCTTGACTCTTTTTTTTTTTTTTTAAAGAGAGAGGTGAGAGAGCGAGAGAATGAGAATTTTTAATTTTTATTTTTTAGTTTTCGGCAGACACAACATCTTTCTTTGTACGTGGTGCTGAGGATCGAACCCAGGCAGCATGCATGCCAGGCGAGCACGCTACCGCTTGAGCCACATCCCCAGCCCCTTCTTTACTAATTTTAATAAGCATTTTTTTCCTATTATCTGAATATTTTGTATTTTGTATCCAACTTTTTTTTTTTTTGGTGCCAGGGATTGAACCCAGGGGTGCTTAACTACAATGCCACATCTCAGCCCTTTTTATTTTTTATTTTGAGACAGAGTTTCAGTAAGTTGCTTAGGACCTCAATAAATTACTGAGGCTGGCCTTGAACTTGAATTCCTCCTGCCTTAACCTCCTAAGATGCTGGGATTACAGGCATGCACCATCATGCCTGGTGGTTCTAATCTTATTGTATGTTTTATCTCTTTATAATCACTTAATATTTTGTTTCTGGTTCTTTGAAATTTGGTAATCTTGGTTGAGAGTTCTTACTTTACTTCAGTTATTTTTATTTGTTTATTTTCTTTGAAATTATGGGAGGCCATCCTCCTTGCACGTGATTTGAGTTAGCTCCCTGGCTGGGTGAGAGGTGCTTAGACACAGAGGTATCAGAGCCTTCCTCACCCTTTCCCAGGTACAAGGGCTTGTCTGTGCAGAAGCGGTATGCCTGGCCACTCACCTGAATACCCAGTCGCTGGTCCTGACCTTGGGATGCTGCCTCCCTTAACCTTCATTGGATGGGATTTTCCCTTGAATTTTTTGTTCCCCATAAAAGCTCACTCCTTGGCGTGCGCTCCCTCTCTTGCTAGCCTCTTCTGTACACCTTGCCACCAGCATTAGGTTGCTGGAGGCGGGAGCTAGGAGAAGCCGTCTGGGAGCTAGGAATAAAGGTAATGAGAGTCTGTCTCTTTAATTAAAACTCACTAGCAATTTCTTAGGCATCGAACTTTCTTTTATGAAGCTCGCGCTGGTCGCGTGGCAGATGAAATGAGGTCTGTGTTGCCCAGGCTGGCCTCAATTTTTGCCTGGGCTCAAGCAGTTACCCTCCCCAATATTCAGCACATGGTGTATGTCCACCATACTGGGCTAGGTAGTTAGTTCCTTAAGGTACTTCAGAGGACCTTTACTCTTAGGAATGTCGTTCCCAGGCTAAGTGATTAATGTTAAGTTTCAAAC